TTTGTATTGTTAATGTTGAAAGTGTTCGATAGAAAATAGTGTCACTAGCGCCCCCTTCATGTTCGGAATGCAATAGTCCCATTTCCATATAGGGAATGGGACCGACGGAAAGGTCTGTCACCGCCCCGWKCTGCATGCTGCAGCGAAGTGTACTTGGTAGGAACCCTGCAGGAAGATGTGGAGGAGAAATCATCAGTTTCTCCCACTGCACTCCTAATGAAGCACGAAGCTAAACACCTAAACAACAACAACAACAACGATAGGACAGGAGGACAGGAACAAACAAGTTCAGTCTGTTGGTTCAGCAGGTGCAGATGATCGACCAGTGTTTCTGTATGTCTGCTGCTTGTTCTGATGAACCCGTCCACCGACTCAGCAACACACACCAACACACACCAACACACAGCTCGCTGATCTCAGTCCCAGAGAGACGAGCAGTGACGCTCTGGGTTTTAGCTTTGGGGAGCTGACATTCTGTTAGATATAAAGTGGGAACACAGGGCTGGGTCGTATGACCTCAAATTCATATCATGTATAAAYTCAATCCTTTCACTGTAACGGTATATTTCACAGCAGAAAATTATCATAAAAAGCAAAGATAATGTAATTTTTAGAGCTTTTTTTTGAAGAAAACTAATAATCAAACCCAGTATTTTTGCTGTAGTGCAAATGAGCAGAAGTACAAAAGAGGGTTTTGTATATATTGCAAAACAGTTTCAACAATAAACAAAAATATTTGTCAAATTTTCAACAATATCATTATAAAGTGGTTGTTATAACCAGTACTTCACGTAAAATTAGTCATTTAGACATAAAAAAATTCATTGTTGCCTAAAATGCTATATAGTGTAACAGGACCTTAAGGGGTTTAAGCTGCACATAGTCCTGTCATAAAACAATTTCAGGTAACTGGAATGTAAGTGTGGTGAAGCCAAATAAATGTAATATCTGCCTGCCAAACAATGAGCTTCTGCCTGCTGAACTKAYCMGCTGCTGCTCTGCTGCGCTCTCCTCTTCATCATCAGAGCAGAAGCGACTGTTAAATTAGTAAGATGATTTATGACTGAACGAACGTCCACGTCTTTTTCTTTTGTCATCTCTGTGGGTAACAATGTAGGAAAAACAAGTTTTATTTCTGACAACTTCGGTGCAAAAAAACTACGGTTGTTAAAGCTTCGCTCTGCGCGACGTGCAGCGGGAGAGTTGGAGGGAAGGATCCAGATGTAACTTTTCTACAGCGGGAGGGGAAAATTTTGAGGATTTATTCTCTCAATACATGTTTTAAAATGCTATATTTCTTCATTATATTTTGAACTCCTCCTGCTCCTCTCTGCACTCGCAGCCCTGTTCACACAGGTGCGATGACGTAACTGACGACAGAACGGTAGAGGGTAAATTTCTACCGTAGGCCAACTTTATACCATTTCTACAGTCTACCACATATACCGCACAGCCCTAAGTGAACAGTAATACATCGGGTAAAATAAGTTTTGAACACATCACCATTTTTCTCAGTAAATATATTACTAGAGGTGCTAATGACATGAAATTTTCACCAGATGTCGGTAACAA